TCATTCCATCACTTCCTCCCTCTATCTTTTTTGTAAGGCCTAAATCTGTAGAGTTACTAGCTTATGAATGGTGTGGCTGGAGCTTGGAAAAAATGTGAGTTGATTTCTATAATAAGCACATCTCCCCTTCATTATAAAGTGTGTGAAATACGAAAATTATCCAGCTTGCAGATGGTTTTACCTTTCCTATGATAATTAGTGTCATATAACTCATTATGTTCCTTTTCATTACCTAAATGCAGAGAATATATATGAATCTTACTAGAGCTTTGGCTACAACGTCACATAAGCATGTGATAGGGTCAAGTTTTACATCTATATTTGCTGAACAATCTATTTATGCTTCAGCAAGATGCAGGCCTGGTAATTGACATCATTTATGCTTGTAATATTTCATTTAATTCATATTGTATACTTACGCTTTCACATACTTTAAATAACCTGATGCAGATTTCATAGCAGAGTGTAATTTTGATTTTGATTTTATAATTTAAAAAACACAAAAAGTGAGCATAAAGCATAAGCATTATACCTAACCATGGAACAACTCTTTTGTTCATTAAAGTAAAGGGCGAGATAAAATACTTTGTGGCTGTGCATTTAACAAATCAACATGTTAGCTTTCTTTTTCTCTAAGAAATAATAGAAGAATCATAATGTCCAAGACTAGAAAGTAACCAATCATGCCAATTGCTAGGATCCTCAAGTGTATTATGTTGCTTTCTTTCTTTGTTTAATGTTATTGAGCTTCTTTAGTCTATGTTGGTTTACCATATTTTGTTCTTTGTAAAAGTGGTATACATTTTTATCATATGATTGAAATTGTCTGTATTTGTTGCGTGACTATATTGGAATAATCAATTTAGAATCAAAATATAGATGCAATTTTTGTGAAACAATTCTTTATAGATTCAACTATCAACAACATTCGTGTTTTCTTTTGCTAAGGAAGTAAATTGAATTAAAACTTATGTATTTTGACATTGCTGTAATACTAATGTTAGTAATATCTGTACCAGAGGATCTGTTGAAAAATTGATGACTGTAAAATGCAGGATCGAAAACATCTAATGAGGGAAAACCTCTTAAAATCGCAAAGATCTAGCAACAAGCATTCTCTATATCCACCAAAAACCTGGCATGACACATGGAAACCTGAAATCTTCTAATGTGTTACTTGGTTCCGACTTTGAGTCTTGTCTCAGCGATTATGGTCTCAACGTGTTCCTCAATCCCAAAACAATCGATGAACCAAGTGCCACTTCTTTTTTCTATAGAGCACCCGAGTGCCGCAGTTTTCAACGCCCACAACCTCAATCTACTGATGTATACAACTTTGGTGTCCTTCTCCTCAAGCTTTTGACAGGAAAAGCAGCCTATCAAGACCTTGTTCAGGCGCACAGTTCATATATACCTATATGGGTTCGGTCAGTACGTGAAGAAGAGATCGAGTCCAGAGATGATCCTGCCTCATCAGGCAATGAAGTGAACATTGCAATGGCATGTGTTTTAGTTAGTCCAGAGAATAGATCTACAATTAGAAAATTTCTAAAGATGATAAGAGATGCAAGAGGGGAAACTCATGTCTCATATAATAATAGTAGTGATCATTCACCAGGTAGATGGTCAAATACTGTTCAAAGCTTGCCAAGAGATGAACATCTTAACATATAATTTGAAACCTTTTATTTTTTACTTTTGATGCATTCTTATTTTCCTGAATTGGTTATCAAATATTGGTTGTCATAATTGAATGAGGCACACGCAGAGCTTGAATGCAAAATCAACCCATTTTAAGCAAGGTTTTTCTTTCTCCTGTGTTCTTTTTTTTACCTGTCCATTTTCTTTACTAGTAGTTAACAAAACCATGCGAAGAGGCTGACATGTATTTATATCAAATAGTCATAATAAAAAAATAATTTAAGTTTAGTAATGATGGTAAATTCATGCAACCTATTGAAATCATGGCAATGTGAATGTCTTGAATAGAATATTGCCGGAAAATGGCTCAGAGGTCTGTGGACTTCAGAAGAGCAGAATCAATCAATTTTTATATTTATCAATTATATATCAAAAGAGGCTTAATTATGATTATCTTAGTTATTTCTTCCTTTCACTTTGTGTTTCTTTAGGCCTTGGGTACTATTTGTTTTATTCTTTCTACTGAAACATTGGACACCCTGTGGAATTATACTACTGTTATAAATTATAATTGTATTCCCACTGTTTTTAAGTGTATCCGTCTCTTGATCTTTCCTATTTTATGATCTTAATTTGAAAATAAAATCTTACAATCCATACTTTTCATGTATAGACAATACTTTTCCTTTTCTTTGTAGGCGTTTATGCATTTCCCCTTGGATGTAGTGAGCTTAGAAATATGTATCAGAATAATCCAAACATTCTACTTGGTTATAACATTTGGCAACTAGCTTTGTCTTAAACCTTTCTATTGTGTCGTCTAACTCGTATTTGATTTTGTAAACCCATATGCATCATATTGATTTAACTTTGGGTGGAAGGTCAATGAATTCCCAAGTGTTAGTTTTGTCAAGGGTATCAAGCTCAAATTTTATGGCTTAATTACAATAGTCAAGGGTATCAAAACTGAACTCGCGAGCTTCAAACGGAAACAAAAAAAAATCAACAGATGCTCAAAGAATCAAAGCCATAGAGATGCTTTGACTTAAACCTTCTGCCGCCACAAGCAAACTCGGAAACCATTAAGGCTCTGCATGCAATGGATTCCTTGGAACTCTTAAATTCCTGATACAAAATTCTGCAGCTGATGACGAATAACCTCATAAGCGGGAGCTTTAAGACTTCTCCACGTCTTACATTAGGGTTTCCGCTACTTCCATATTGTTACTTGTGCTGGGAATCGCTGCTGACTTACTTCCTCTGTCGAACAACTTAATGAGTATGCTTTTGCATTTAATGGTTGATTTTGAAAATATTTTTGAGTTGAATTTAAATTTTAGGACTGAAATTGATTGAAAAAATTTAAGAAGAATTTACTTAAACTGTAAATATCTTAAACTAAAACGACGTTTACATTAAAAGTGTATGAAAAAAAAACACTAAAATGTGATTGACAAAGAGTCCTAAGTGACTTGAAATGTAAGAAGTGAAAAAATAAATGACATCAAATGTAAAGTGAAAAATTAAATTATTAGAAAAGTAACACTTTAAAATAAAATTGTATGTTGGAACAAACTTTTTACTTTTATATACTTTAAAATTTTTCAATCCAAATTTTCAATTAATATTTTCGTATACCGTTAAATATTACAATAATATCATTTACAACTGTTGCACAGAGAATAACTGCCATGAAGATAACTGGTGTATAAATTGCATGCGTGATAGCCCTAATCGAAAGAGAATAAGAGTGAGACCTGATGCGAGAACATATAGCTGAACTTTCACTATAAATTACACCAAACATGGTTGGAGAGAAGTCAAGCTTCTAATATAATTTTTACATACAGACTAAAATTACAATAAAGTAGTCAGAATATTATCAGAAATTTACTTAATTAACACAATGTATGATGTTTCCGTCAAGTTGCCTATGCTTTGTAACTTTTTGGATTGATTCCAAAAATACTCTACTTGTAGAGGTTCGATATCATTTTCTCCACACCCTTTCCACATCAATCCTAAAAACACAAATGGAAATCATTAACTGATAAATTAGTTTCAAAAGTATCAACTGATAAATTAGTTTAAAAAGCATCAACTGATAAATGCAGTTTTGAAAATTATCTACTGATACCAGAACATAAGTTATCAAATTAAATAACAATTGACTTTAGCATCTAAGCCAAACGGATTCATAAATTCAAACTCATGCAGTACACTCAAACAGACGGAATTTATCATCTACGAAAAACTTAAACCCATCGTTGGTTTCTAGAATCCAAATTAATATTACTGTAGGTGTACATTTTTGTGGCTAGATTGATTTTGTAACTTATAAAGTAAGGACGGATAATTCATTAAAGTAAACGATTTTGATGAGAATATCAATAACTTCATTACAAGAGAAACGACCCTTAAGACTAGAAAATGAATAAATTTAACACCAAAATGAAAATCCTAAAATCAAAATATTCATACAAGAGAAAGATGACCTTACATAACAAAGAGGAGGGCAAGAGTCATAGATAAGAGCAGACGCAGTGGCGACAACGGCGTATGAAGTGGCAGCGGCGGAAAATTGCAGTGTATTAGAAAGCGCAATGGCGGTGAGGGCGAATGAATATTACTATTCTGTTTCCGGATCAAGTACTGAAGTCTCTCTCTCTCTCATGTAATTCAATGCTTTGTATACATCAAGCCGATGTAGGTGCCATCTATGAATGAAACCATGTGTTATAAGAAGTCTGAATGTAGCGAGCTTAGCAACTGGTGAATACGTATCTCAATCAAGTCTTGGGGAAGCTTCATGGAACCAGAAGCCAACCCAGAATTCCAATTAATTTGAATCCACCGACTTAATTTGATCTTACTACATCAAAGAATAACTAAGACCTCAAAAGCACCGGAACGAAATCTGAAGTGCTAGCATCAGAACCAAAAAGCACCGGCGATGAACTGAGCTCTGAAGAAACATCACGAATCTATCCTACACATGCCAGAACAGCCCTTACAACGAACAATCTAATCAGTTCACTTCAAATCTCCAAACAATTTAGTAAGAAACCAATGAATTCAAAAAACCAAAAGGATCCACTGAAATAAAACATACTAAATCCAAACAGATATTAATCTTTGGAACCAAGAGATTCCCTTGGATTCAAACACCATGTTGTTATATCTAGATTGGAATGGTTGAAAAATCAAAACTGAACTCGTGAGCTTCAAACGGAAACAACAAAAATCAAGATAGAAAGGGTGGAAGTGGTGGATTCTCAGTGTGGAAGGAGAACAATGGGAAAGGAGCAATTTCTGGCGAAATCACGACGTCCTTCTTTGTTACTGAGTTCCCAGAGAAGATGAATGCTAAAGACCTGTTCGAGGTATTCAAGGTTTATGGAGTCATCTCAGAAGTTTCCATTTCTGCTAGGCAAGATAAACGAGGTAAAAGATTTGGATTCGCTAAATTCCAGAAAGTTCATGATTCCCGAATTCTTGCCTGCAACCTTGATATTATTGTCTTGGAAGGAAAGAAGTTGTTTGTTAATATTCCCAGGTTTAGTATGAAAAATAAGAGGCAATTTCCGGTTAGTGAGAATTTGAGGAAGATTAACCAAACTGGTCGCCCAAGTAGGTACGAGAAATTCGATACTTTGGATAGATTGTTTGCCAAAGTGGTAAGAGGTGCTGATCCTAAGCCTGACAGAAAGGTCATGGGAGGAGGATCCTGCACAAAATTAGAGGTGGATGATGAATGGTTTAGGAGGTTAAAACGAATGAGAGTGGGTGAAGTCATGGAAGATGGAAACGCGTTCAACATTTAGAAGGTTATTTTAACATTAAGGCTACTCCCTTGGGAGCATCCATGTGCTTGTTGGAAGATACTTCTGGTGGTGACATAGAGGAGTTTGTTAAGGAGTCTAGTGAATGGTTGGATATTTGGTTCAGAGACATTCACATTTGGAATTTGGAGGAGATTCATAGAGGTAGGTTTGTGTGGATAAAGTGTTATGGTCTACCTTGTGTTGCCTGGAGTGATAATAATTTTCGGTTGATCTCTTCAAGTATGAGAACGTTTGTCAAATGTAATGAGAAGACTAGGAAAAACGATTGTATGGACGTAGTGAGATTTCTGCTTAAAACAAGTTTAGGGGTCATCCTGAACAACATGATTGATGTTGAAGTGAACAACCACACCTTTTCATTAGCTTTTTCTGAAGATTTCTCGTGAGGGCGTGGAGCTTCTTTGTTTGGCGAAGAAGACAAGGTGATAGATTCTGAAGATTATGATTCCTCAATTCCTTCAGACATTGATGGCGCGTCGGAGGTGCCTGAAGAGGAAGAGAGTGGTGAATCCATTTTCTCAAATACCGAGCCAGAAGACAGAGTCCCATCTGTTAAGGTTCAAGGGTTAGACTATGATTTCTCTGTGTCTGATAACGTGTCTGTTGTTGGAGATAGCTTAGGGCTAAGTATGGTAGGTGATGGGTCAAGAGGGAGCAGCCACAAGAATCCTGCTGCTCTTTATAGTTCAGAAGGAATCAAATCAGTTAACCATGTGGTTGACTTAGAACTAAACCAGAACAAAGTGGAAAATGAGTTACTCGTTCTTAATGGTGAGTTGGTGGTGGATTTGGGGCTGCCTATGCCAATTACCAGGCCTTCAAGAGGAGTAATTGGGCCTGCAAATAGAGGTAAAGTCAAAAAGAAAAAACTTTTTCATGAGGTCTATAATTGCATTAAGATCCCTTACACCCCCTCTTATTTTTCCACCCTGGTTCTCACGGCTCCGAAGGGGAATCTTGGATCTTTGTCGAGGGGTGTTGTTAGGGAGGAAAGGAAGAAGAAAAGGTTGAATAGAGACATTTGTAAGTCAAGCTCTGCTCTTTTGTGCTGTGAATCGATAACTGACACAAATGTGGAAAGAGGCAATTTAAAATGCAGAAGGGCCATTGAAGATGTTCCATCAAAATTGAGTAATTATCTAAAGGAATTAGGTGTTCAGGGAGATGATGAAGAGGGTATTGGGCGTATCCTGAGGAAATTGGATAAGGAAGATAAGGAAGTTAGGTCAGGCAAGAAGGATGTAGCTACAGGTGGTCCATGAATATTGTTTCTTTCAATGTTAGAGGATGCTGTAGTTCTTTGAAGAGAAGGAGAATTTCTCAAATTCTGCAAAGAGGTAGTGCTGACATATGCCTTATTCAAGAAACCAAGATAATTAATATTGAGACTGGTATTGCTTATAGCCTATGGAGGAATAATGATATGGACTGGATAGCTCAGAACTCGTCTGGTAGATTTGGTGGTATCATTACCATGTGGAATACTACTAGAATCACAGCTTGCTCAAGTTTTCGTGGTAAAGGTTTCTTGGGATTGCACATTGTTTGGAATAGTCAAAGTTTGATTGTGATCAATTTTTATGCCCCCTGTGGATCAGCTGAAAAGAGGAATCTGTGGAGAGATCTGATTAAAGTTAAAAGTAATTTTTCTGGTGTTGGTTGGATTGTGTGTGTGTGTGGGGGGGGGGGGGGGATTTCAACACGGTGAAAAATGGGGAGGAAAAGAAAGGTTTAAGTGGTAACAGTAGTAGGGATATGAAGGATTTTAGTGATTTCATCAAAGCATTGAATGTGATGGATCTTCCGGTTTTTGGAAATCGTTCACATGGCTCAATTCTATTGGTAAGAGCAGAAGCAAACTGGACAAAATTTTGGTTGATGATCGGGTTATTTCTTTGTTATCCTTGAAGAATCAAGTGGTGGGAGATAGAGATGTGTCAGATCATCGGCCTATGTGGTTGAAGTCCAACTTCGTCAATTGGGGGCCTAAACCTTTTAGGACCTTTAACTACTGGTTCTCTCACAAGGAATTCATCCCTTTTGTCATGAAATCGTGGAACTCGTACCACTTCACAGGATCTTCCTGCAACATCCTGACTAAGAAACTTCAAGCCCTTAAAACTGACCTCAGGAATTGGAACTACAATGTTTTTGGATGGTTGGAGCTAAAGATTGAGGATAATATTAAAAAGTTCAACAAGCTGGAGTTGGATTCTATTGTGGACTCTGAATCCCAAGCTGCAGATGTGGATAAGGAGAGGCTGCGATACCAGGAGGAAATATGGAAGAACCTTAGGCTCAAAGAAAGCATGTTGGCCCAGAAATCCCGGATAAGATGGTAGCAAGACGGGGATCTAAACACAAATTTTTTTCACGATTCTTTAAAATCTAGGAATCGTTCGAATCATTTATCAGCTGTTAGAGTGGAAGGCAGAATTGAGGAAGATCCCGAGGGTATTAAGTCTGAAGCCGTGAAGTTCTTTAAGGAAAAATATCTGCAACTAGACTCGTCTAAGTTTAGAAGCGAGTTTGACTTGGCTGCTAGTCTTGATGAGGAGGACAAATTGTTCTTGGAAACAGACTTCAGTTCTACTGAAGTGAGAAAGGTTGTGTTTAGCTGTGACGGTAACAAGTGCCCTGATGTCGATGGTTTTAATTTTAAATTCATCAAATCTTGCTGGGATATAGTTGGCCAGGATTTCACGAACTGTATCCTGGAATTTTTCAAGACAGGTTTTCTCCCAAAGATGTTCGCGTCCTCTTTCATATCGTTGGTGCCGAAGATTAATAACCCTCAACATTTTGAAGATTTCAGGCCAATAACTCTTTTCAGCTGTGTTCTAAAGGTTATCTCCAAGATGCTTTCCTGCAGATTGAGCAAGGTTATCCACAAACTTATATCTCCCTCTCAAACAACTTTCATTCCGGGGCGGCAAATATATGATGGGGTTCTTCTGGCCAATGAAATAGCAGACTATGCTAAGAGGTTCAACAAGAAGTGTCTGTTTTTTAAAGTCGATTTCTAAAGCTTACGATTATGTTGACTGGTCTTATCTTGATGGTTTTCTTGTTAAGATGGGCTTCAGTATTAATTGGTTAAAATGGGTTCGTGGCTCTGTGTTCAAAAGCTTTGTGTCGATTCTAATTAATGAAAGTCCATCGAAGGATTTTAAGGTTGGTAGGGGGTTGAAGCAGAGCGACCCTTTAGCTCTGTTCTTGTTGGCCATCGTAGCAGAGGGCTTGTCAAGCTTGGCGAGATCTGCGGTTGTGGCTAATTTGATAACAGAATTCAAAATCCATGATCAAGCCACTGTGAGCACGCTTCAGTTTGCTGACGACACTCTGCTTATAAGAGATGGTTCGGTTACAAATATTTGGGCATTCAAGGCTATTCTGCGTGCTTTTGAATTAATTTCTGGTCTAAAAATTAATTTCTCTAAAAGTTGTCTGTATGGGATAGGAGTAGATCCTGCTTATCTTGAAGCTGCTAAAGCATTTTTGCACTGTAAATCCGGCAGACTACCGTTCAATTTCCTTGGTCTTACTGTTGGAGGTAACCATCGCCGCTACTCCTTTTGGAACCCGGTGTTGTCTTGCCTGAGGAATAAGCTCTCAAATTGGGCTGGGAGAAATTTGTCAATGGGAGGTAGAGTATCTCTCATTAATTCAGTTATAGCTAATCTGCCTATTCATCACTTGGCTTTTTTCAAGGCTCCCAAAAAAGTAGTGAATGAAATTATCGCAATCCAACGTCGGTTTTTATGGGCTGGGAATTCCTGCAAAAAATTCATCTCTTGGATATCTTGGAACTCAGTCTGCAAACCGAAGGATCACAGAGGTCTTGGAATTAAACACGTAGGTCACTTTAATTGTGCTCTTTTAGCAAAATGGTTGTGGAGATTTCAGTGAGATGGGAGCTTGGGAGGACGTGCAGTGGGTTTGGAAAATTAGAGAAACGATGATCGATGCAGGATCCCTTATAGAACTAGAATAGACCGATTGTAGTAATATGTTGGAAAATGTTTCAGTTAACAACAATGAGCCCGATAAATGGAAGTGGTTACTTCACGACTCAATGTCGTATACAGTTAGCTCTTTTTACTCTGCTTTAACCTCTTCTTCCTCTGCTCACGATATTGGAACTGATAGTGCAACCCTTCTGGAGATCCTTTGGAAAACGGTGTTACTGGCAAAAGTTCAAACTTTTAGTTGGAGGATGGCGCTTGATAGGCTGCCTACTAGATCAAATTTGATGAAAAGAAGGGTGATTGATAATGCCCAACATTTGGATTGTGCATTCTGTACGCGGAGTTACGAGGACGTCTCCCATCTTTTTTTCACGTGCATCAAATCCTCGTTGGTTTGGAAAAAAATTTGCGACTGGGTGGATATAGAGATCATCTCGGAGGCTTGTTGTAATCTTCATGCGAAGGTTTGGAACTCAAGTCTTAGTGGCTTGTTGTAATCTTCAAGCAAACAAGATCAACTCTATATGGTTTATTACTTGCTGGATTATATGGAGGGTTAAAAATAACATAATATTCAATAATGAAACCATTGAAGTAGATGAAATTGTTTTCGAAATTAAATTATCCTCGTGGAATTGGTTGATTTTAGGAAGAGAGGAGAGTAAGCAGTGTAGATTGTATGAATGGTTTAAATTTCCGTTCGACTTTTTGTAATAATTTTGACTTCAGGGGTGGTTGTTTTGTTGTTGGTCTGAGATTTCCTTAATCTCTTTTTATAATATTTGCTTATAAAAAAATAGATGCTCAAAGAATCAAATCCATAGAGATGCTTTGACTTAAACATGCTACCGCCACAAGCAAACTTGGAAACCATTAAGGGTCTACGCACAACAGATTCCTCGGAACTCCTAAATTTCTGATATGAGATTCCGCAGCTGATGACGAATAACCTCAAAGGATGGAGCTTTAAGACTTCTATCCTGCATGAGAGTTGCACATGAAACGTGCTAA